TTTATTTGGAAATTACTTCCTGCATTATGCTTTATGTGATGTATATTGTGCATGAAGTCCAGTTTTCCAGCAAGGATTTAATTCATCGTGCACACACATGTAGGTGATTAATGTGTTTCAGAAAGAGAAATCTAGTTTCATGAGCAGCAACTTAGTAATGGCACATTCAAAAAGAACCTTTATTTTACACTTCAGGTAATACAATTTCCTGGGAAATGTACAAGATCTAAAATGAAACACTGGATGATAATAGATGGTGTCCTGTTTCTAAAGGCAGAGAATAAAACATTAACAGTATCACGGAACAGCATCAGAATCAGAACAGAATCGCTTTTATTCCTGCGTTGTTGGCATCTAACTTAGAACGCACATCAATTGCTATTCTACAGGCAAATGACCTGCATGCAACTTTATTTAGCAAATGAATGGAATATGTACAGTCATGTTTGTTATGTATGAAATATTTCATAAATGTATGTAATAGTTTTAAAGGTGCAGTGTGTAAGATTCTATTGACAGAAACTGAATATAAAATAATCCTAGTGATGATTTCAGTTGTGTGTTTTATCTAAAATTCATGAATTGTTGTCTTCTTTACCCGAGAATGGGCCCTTATATTTAAATACTTTTTACATCAAGAGCGTGTCCTCTCCATGGCAGCTGCAATGCTTTTTTTTACAGTAGTCCAAACGACGAACTAAACACCTTTTGAGTTTTCATGAAAACTGAAGGCTACCACAGTCACTAAATTCTACACACTGAACCTTTAATTTGAATGCTAGGGGAGACAAATAAATTAAAGTGGCTGTAGTTATTACAAATTAATTTCAGATGCTTTCCCTCCTGAATAAAAATCTGTAGTCAGCCAATATTATACATTTGTGATAGGAGAGTATCTATATGCTAATTTCATGGGGAAAAAGTTGATTCATATAGAGCTGCGTTGTCTGTAACAGGTGAAAGTGGCTTCTCATTGCTCATGCCAATATCAAAAATACACGTAAGGTTGTGAAGACCGGCCGTCCCAAATATGGTCAAGTTGCATTGTGTGTTTTTGTATTGCAATAACATCCCAAGTACCTGGTAAAGAGATCACTGTTAACTGCTCTGTAGGTTAACATAACTGATGCACTGTGGTATTTCAGCTAGAGCTACCGTAAGGTGTGTGTGTGTCTGTGTGTGCCTGTGTGTGTTGTTGTGTATATTCCTACTGGATCGTTGGATGGGTTGTCGCATCAGTGTTTTTCTACAAATCTTATGTACATGCACATGTGTCTTTTGTAAGACAGTCTTTGCCAACCTCCCTCACTAATGTTGACTCAGAGAAAGTTAGTGTTTCCTCGATCAGCTTGGTTTTGGAAAGGTTGAGGATGAATTGATGATGAGACGAGAAAGGTCCAATCTTCCGTCGTTCTTCTCAAACTTCGATGATGTTTATAGATGGCACAGAGGGATGAAACTGCAAAAGACGAGAAGGATACAAATCACAATTTTTGTTTTTTTAGAACAAAGAAATACTTCAATTCTATAGATGGTAAAAGCACAGCATCTGCCTGAGGAGATTGAGTAGAGCAATGAGCCTAGTAGTGGAATTAAAATACATGAACTGTATTTTGGTATAGTCAGTATGAAAGCTGCAAATAAAAAGCT